CCTTCAGCTCCTGCCAATGCGAGAAGACAATACCCCTAAGGTGAACGGGGCTATTTGTTCGGTGAGTATTAGGCTCTGGGAAGTGTCCAAGAAGGCTAATGGAAGCCCGCAGGTGTGCGGTTTCAAATGCCTTCAAAGCGCTTCATGCCCGAGTCTTCCAGAAATGTTACACTTCATAACCATCCTCTTCCAGCAAGATTTATGCTGTGTTTTGAATATTTCTAATACTCTGGAGTCTGAGTGCCAGAAACCTCTATTTATCAGGTTCTGTCACTGGACAAGTTGCTCTGGTCAGGGATCATATATAAACCCATTTATGTATAGGCCATTATTTATTCTATACAAACTACTAAAAGCAGGTGTGATTTCAGTGTGTTTGCGCTGAATGTGAATTAGTTTAGCAGAGTAAAGTTTCATCCACAACAAAAGCCTACCGCTTTGAGACTATCAATAAGGAGAAAACAAGAACAAGTTTTAATGACGTGTTTATATAAAAAAAATTAGCATCCTTTCACTATGATACGTGTACAACAGAAAGTACAGTACAGGTTTGAGATGCATCCCACATATTCTCTGAAGGGGGGTTACAAATTCACAAAGAAATAATATTGCTATGCAAGTGCTTATCAAAAGCAATAAAAAGAACAGAATAAACAATTTGTGCTCTACAAGTCTGAGATTCGTGGATTACCACTGGAAATTGCTTTACGCAGTGTTAGAATCTAAAGCTTTGACCCCGCAAAAGAATTACTGGGCACAGCCAAAGGTCACGTGCGGAGCTGCTGCAGTCAGCCACGGGTCAACGTGCAGGAAAAGTCCTTCAAGAACCAGGGACTGAGAAGGTTTCTGGCCTAACTATTAAAAAAATTAACACGGGAATGGGAGGATGGAGGTTTCTTGGTCTACCTGTTCTCTCAAGGACCCTCCCAAGCTTTTCTTTGCTCTGATAAGAAGCTAAACTCGTAACAGAACCGTTGTTATTTATCACTGTTAGATCAACAGTATGAAGCCACGATGGCTCCAAAATGCATCTTTGGCTCTTCTGGGAAGGACATAAAGGTAGAATTCCCATGTTTGTCCCGTTGGCAACTCCTGGTACTATGATAGTTATTACTTACACAAACAGAAATCTGCAGCCAATCAAAATAATATGGTTAGCAAGAAATCTGGGCAAACTTTAATAGCTACGGTTCTTCAACATAAAAAGGATAAAAGTAGAATAATAATTTTTGGCAGGGGAAAGCGGGGAATTTTAAAAATTCTGATTGTTTTCCTATGAGGATAGTGTTATAAATACTGAAGTCTAACTTAAAACATGTTGTTCTGGTTTCATGAATTCACATTGAGTAAGATTCTGCTGGGCCCACTGAGTTACACTCGACTCATTTCCACTCTTCTCAAACTGAAGTTATCTGGAATACACAACACGATAAGAGAGTGGGATCTGGCACAGAAACTGCATGGTGAAATAATTTAAATGTCTTTCTGAAAGGAGTTATCTGTGCATGTAAGTGTGTTGCAGTGGAATACACAGAGCGCTCTTTTCAAGAAAGCATAATTAACTTTGGCCTTCTGGGAAATGGAGAGCCAAGAAAGGCATTTACCAAGTGGAAGATGGGCATAAATTTAAATAGAAAAAACATTTTCACTGAAGTTTTCACTTTCATTTTCAACAAGCTCCAGTGCTATCTTCAGGACAGTATCAGCCTGACAGTCTTTCACTGGAACCTGATGAAGCAAATAAGTAGAGTTATATTATTTTAGTAGCAGTTACACTTACTTGCCACAAAATTAATCTATGGAAAAGCTGATTTAGTAGGTTTTTCCATTAAAAAGTCGATGCTGTCTAATAAAGACTATTTTGCAGGCACAGAATTAGGTAAATTTGCTAGTCTGCAGTAAGAAGCAGAATCAAAACATTAATGACACCCAAGCAAGTAAACTTCCTTAATTAATAGCTAATGATGTAAAGTTTTGGCTCTTCTTCTAGAAAACAACATCCTGTAAACATTTTCCCTGCCTGGTGACAAAAGTGAGAAATAGAGAGTTCACAAATAGAGAACCAAGAAAAGACATTCAAAACTACCCCAATCAAAATTAATCTTTTAGTATTTTTGAAATATTTAATTTTGATTTTTACCTTTATATGATTGTACCTTGTTTTGGAACAAAAGTCATATTGAGCCCCACATCAGAATGATCTGTTTAATGGCACTGAAGTGAACACTTCTTTCCCCAAGGCAATAACATAAAGAAGCTAAGAAGTATTTTGAAGGAGCAATGAATAAAAAAGACCATTGCATGTGAATGGTTTTGTATGAATTGGCATTTTCCGATTTAAAAAAAAGTTTGCTGAAATATTTCCCAGGCAGATCTACTTGGGCCTCTAATTCATTGGCACAGGCTCAGTATCAGTCACTTAAAATATGTATTTCATCGTGTACCTAAAATTGTGACATTCTTGAAAAATACTTAATACAAAAATCTTTTATTTCCTTTATACTACATATTTACAATTCTATTATCAAGGTACTGTGGAAAATGTAAACAAGTAAACACAGGTGTAAATAATATGGCTTGAGCAAGGTTTCCCCTTTGATTAGCTGCTCAAATCAGGTATCAGCATACACAGATAAGAAAAAACCAGTACATTTTGTAAACTGCTGTCAAACAGCAAAACGTAAGTTCTTGGGTTTTATGCATTGGCTGCTGAGTAACCACACCAGTCATCGGGCACCTCTGCCTAAACTGAAATGTCTGACATACTGGGACGGGGCCAGTGGAAGGTCACCGAGGTAAGTTGGGTCTGAGGGAGCAGGGTTTGCTCAGTCTTCGGAAGAGAAGACAAGGGGAGGTATTACTGCTGTCTTCAGCTACCCCATGGGGGCTGTAGATGAGATGAAACCAAACACTTCTCAGAGATGCACACTGAAAGGATAAGAAGCAGCGGACCAAAGTTGAAACTTAGGAAATTCTCATTAGAAACTGGGAAAAAAAAAAAATCGTGAGCATGAAATTTTCAGTGGGACAGGGACTCAAAGAGATGGTGGGATCTCCATCCTTGGAAATATTCAGAACTCAACTGGATGAATCTCCGAGCAACCCCATTCAACTTCGAAGTTGACCAGGCTTTGAAGAGAAGCCTGGGCCTCCAGAGGACTCCTATAGCTTAACTTACTCTATGATTCTATGAAAAATCTTGAATATAATGCAATGCTTGCATTACTCTTGTAGTTTGGCTCTGTGGTAAATACATAGTTAAGATCAAAACATGTCAATTGCTTAACTTGGATCGTTCTCCTCCAGCAGTTGCTAAGATTGTATCTAATTGTCTCACACGAGATTTACCTTATGAGTTCCAGTTCAGTGAAATTGCTCCAAATTCACATGAGTGTAGGATCAGACCCAGGCCATCACATCTCCAAAAGAACATTTAAAATGTCACAGCTGACAGTAAAGCCCTGCTGAGAGCCACACGCTTCTGACTAGTTTTGGGACAATAACAATTTTGTCACATTTACATTGAGTAAACTTTCCAGCGACATTCATAGAGCTCTAAAGAAGAAATGACAAGGGATCGGCATCAGCCCCTGTGATTTTCTGGCTGAAAGCACAGTTGGTTAATTAATTTTGACACATTCACAAGTATCTTTACTGTGTTTAGGATGACTTTCAATACCTATGAAGTGATGAATAATAACAATAAGACTTCCACGAAGCTTGAAAAATACCTACAAAACCTGTATTGCTTCCAATAGATCACAGTTTGAATTAAACTCCCAGGTGAGCAAGCGTCGCTTGCTTTGTCCTGGACAGTTAATGACTACAGACGTGTTTAAGACCTGAGGTGAACCATGGGGTAAAACTGTTACTTCAGCTACTCATTATCCAACCGCAACAACAATCATCATCTTTAAAAATCACAAGTTAGCATCAATTATTGTCACTTGGTCTTGGTCACAAAAATCTTCTCTTGCAGAGTTGCAGTTGGCGCCGGTGTGTGAATGGTAGTGTGAAGACAAGACCTGGAACTGCCTGTACTACCATGTCGACTGAGCCCATGGTCCTGATGCCCTTTTATAAGTGCACTTGTGATATAGTCAGACTCAAGAGGTTTCTACATAGATTTTGTAACTCCTAGCCTAAAGAGAGGTATAAAGAGGCACTCTGAAATCTTTTAGTCTGGTTAACTTAGAATATTAAAATAGAGAACATTATTCCTTTATAATGACATAGTCCTATATCAAAGAACAACCTGTCTAAACAGACAAAATAGCACCAAAATGTCTTTGTTCTATTAAGTGACCAACAGCAGCTGTTGAATATACCAGGACTTTTGAAAGCTGACTTAATCAAACTATTGTGCAGTCAAACCACATTGTAATCATTTATATAAAGAACACAGAGATTATCTTAAAACATCCATCCTTGCTTACTATCTGCCTTCTCCATCCGAGATAAAACTCTTTTCTGCATTAGAAGGTACCGTTTGATGAGAACTGCTGCAGAGTTTGACTTGACAAACCACTGAGAAACTCAACTGACAAGATGGGAGAACATAGAAAGCCAGAAGAGCCTGACAGACGACACCTTGCTCTTTGGAAGACGGACTCAGATGTAAGCCAGATATAGATGGAGACCTTCCAAATCCGTCAATCCACACTAGAAATGCGGTACATATTCTCAAATTAATTAACAACTTATCAAGGACTGTGGTGCATTCTTCTTCAGTCGCAAGTTTAAAATTAGACTGAATGCTTTTCTAGAACACACAATATTATTCAAAGAGGAATTAATTTGGTGAATCCCACTAGTTTCTGTGCAACGTGATTTTGCAGTGAATCCATATTGGCTTCATAATCTGTGAAACGCTCATTAAACTTCACGCTGGTTGTCAAGCGGGTTTAGAAAGTCACTTATACGTGGTGTGGCTCACTGCACGTTGATACGTTACATACTGCTTATCCCGATACTCTTTGGAGCTGGTCTTATTAAAAACATGTCCAAGCTTTCAAACAATGAATTATATTATATATCAGAAAGAATGTCCAGAGCAGATTAATGGAGGGGTAAGAGGCTAGGAATAAATACATGAAACAGATTCAACTTTTTAAAAGGATCCAGCTACTAAATGGCCTCTGTAGTCTTCCATAAGAAGTGTGAATACTTCAGTACAATTCAAGCTGAATTGAATAGCTGTTTTCATATCCAAATTCAAATACCGTCTGTGCATATAAAACAGCTCATTTATTAGTCCAAATGTTACTGTTGTAGAGCTCTTGGAAAAATATTCCCTCTTTCTTGAGTTTGCTCTTCATAAAAAGGAAGCTTTGGAGGGCCACCTAGAGAATTAAGTAGAAACACGGTTTCAGGTCTGTATAACATAATACTGAAATATTATACAGATTATACAATTTACACTTAAATAATTCAAAAGAAGGTAGTGGACTGAGTTACACTGGCCTCCTCATAGAGGCAGAGAGCAGGCAAAACAATAAACCACCTCTCAAACGGAAGGTTCCCAAAGTGGTTCCTAAAGTAAATGCAGAATTGTATGCTATCTCCATCAAGCCAGTTGTGATTAGACTACAAGTGGGAGGAAACTTTCCCTCAGTACTATATCTCATTAAGAAGAGAAATTATCTAAATAAAAAAACAAACAAACAAACAAACAAACAAACAAAACCCCAAACCCTTTTGTGATAGTGAGATGAGTGCTTTAGCACGCTCACAAATGAATCCATATCTATTTTCCAATATTTTATGTACTTAACATATCTCACCATGCTCTTCAAAACCTGACACCTCTACAAAAAGTAAGCGAACGTGATGGCACGCACAGCAGGTAAACCTCCTTATTCATCATACAGAGGCTGTGGATATCAACTATTTCAGGGCAAAATTTCATACTGGCAGGCATAGAAGAGTGTACCGCTCTCCGGCACAGCTGTGCTGGAGTCAGCCTTGGAAATCCTTCAGCAGGCTGTGCAAGATCTCCACAGCCTGCTCTGAGGGGAAACCACTGCACTGAGTCAGTTCGGCTTGGCCAAGACCTCACAACCACCTGGAACGACTCCTGGCATTTGCAGTGTCCCCTGGCATTCGCAACATCAGGCTCCTGGACCCTTAGTAGGGCAGCACACACCAACACAACCCTTCCAAGCAAAGCTGCTGCTATCATGGGTTCTGAGTTTTTCACCAGAGATGGAAATGCAGAACGGCTTCTGCCTCACGTTGCCTGACACAGAAACTGTGGTGGCTGCTGCCGAGCACCATGTTTGCGTGGTCAGTCGATACTCCTGTCCAAACGGCCCACTGACCACCCACCGTGGTCAAGGCAGGATTTCTTCTGCTGAGAAAGTCTGCACATCTCCAGCTTGTGTTACCTTCTTTGCAGGTTGGCCCCATCCACGTGGCTGGGCATACGCAGTTCCCGTTGTACGGATTGCACCGGGATTTGCTGGCGCACTGGCATCGCAGGGAGCAGTCGGGGCCGTACTGGTCCGACCTGCAGTCTGGAAGGACAGAATTGTTTGGAAGAGGGTGAACGCTCCCTAGCAGTCTCCCTGTTCTCTGGGATCAGGAAGCTGCTTAGACACCTACATCTGTTAACATTAAAATGTGACATTTTGGAAAGCCTTGCGGTCCTCAAGTTTCGTCTACCGCATGGTCCGCCCAAACTGTAGCCCAGCTATCCTAAAGAAGTTCCCAGAATGGAAATCATGACTGGTGTAAAACCAGGGGTTGACAGCCCAACAGAAAAGATCTTGGGATTTGCTCAGGAAAGTTACTGTCAGCATCCTGGACCCACACTATCTCCCGCAGCTCTCCACTGCACGGCTTGGCTGTCAGCGTGTGCCAGCAAAGAGCCTTCACTCACAGAATGTGAAGTTGAAAATTAATCCATTTTATATATACTCTTACGTCTTACTCCGATTGCACAATTCTGCTGCCTCCTGGCCAATTAATCTCACAAAATGTCTCACTCCCAAATACAAATACATTTCATACCTAGGCTGATAAATTCTCATTGCAATTTTTTTATGCAGTCAGAGTAAAGGCATGAAGGAAAAGTTAGCAGCAAGTCACAAGGCAGGGTGCTAAACACACTGTAAACAATAGCCCTCTCTCCCTCACCTCGCTAGAAAATACTCTAAATAATCAAGGCGCTCGCTTTCTCACACAGGCACCGTTAGGTAAATAAAAGTGCTGCTGAGCCCTGCATCAGCTGCAGCCCCAACATGTGGGAGAACTCTCCCCGTGCGCTCAGAGCTTGGCCTTTTCAATTAGGAAATGTTATGAGAAAAGGTCTCCTCGAACACCTCTGGACCTGATTTTAATTTATGTAATACCACATTTTCATGTTAATAACAATGTGTATTTAAGACATCTGTTTGAAAGTCTGCAATGTTAATTTACTACAGAAAAAGAGCGCCCATAAAAGTCTGTTATATTCTCTCTCTTTTTTTTTTTTAATTAACATTTTCCCTGTTTAATGGGTGCTTTACCAGAGTTCAAATTAAAATCAGGCCTTTTATCTTTATGGCCACTGCACAGTCACAGCTGCTCACAGTTATATCACAGATGAACTGAGCCTAATTGAAAATAAAAATGCAAATAAAACCTACCCCATAACAGCTTTTCATGGACGGGGGCTACCCTAGCTGATTTAAGAAAAATAAAAATGACTCCTAGAGTTTGCAAGAAGCAAAACCTCGGTTCACATTTTTGGTTCTGAGCTTCCCCCTTGCGTTCCACTTCTGCCTTTCATGGCAAGGCCTCTGGGTGCCCAGCGCCGACCTGGCTGCGGGGGTGGCTGGTGTCCCCCGCCGGATCAGTGCCTGCAGACTGGGTGGCTTCGATTCCTGACCACAGGACAGTGTGAAGAGGGAAGCAAATCATTTTCCATTTTCGTTTTGCAGGTTGCACTAGCACTTAAGCTCCCAGCAATTAGTTTGCATTAATAACAGGTGGTTTAAAGCCGTTTCCTGCCCTATCCTAGAACAAAGAGAGAAACAATATTCCCCCACCGCGATTCTGGGGCTCAGGAGGATTACGGTTCCTGGTGTGAACCTCCAATATCAGCACAGGGACGTTCACTGCTTTTATCTTGTTTGCCACAACGTTGGGATCACAAATCTCTTCTTACACTTCTTTAAACCCATGTCATTCCTTTTACTCCAGTGATTACCCTAAATTTATTCCGGCATAACTGCGATCAGAGTCTGGCTCAAGAACCTGGCCTGCCATTGCTGCCTCTCAACCCTGCAACCAGCTCACCAGGGTACAGTGGTGGGACTGGTTTTTCCTCCAAGAGAATTTTCTCACCTGTTTTTATACCCTTGTTACAAAATAGTTCTGCTCTCGTGGGCCAACCGTTTCCCAAGCACACAGCCCAAGTGCCTGTGCTGCAAATGAGGGAATTTTATTTGGATTAAATGTTCCTGGACTACTGCTGATCCCCAGAGGCAGGCATAGCTGCTGCAGCTCCGCTACCCTCACCCGCAGGGATTCCGCCCTGCTTCCTGGGGAAGCAAACCCGGAGCTGGACATACTTTTGCACTGGTCTGAAAAGGGTCACAAATGTCCGTGTGACAAAACACACGGCAACTGGATCCCTTCGTGCCCACGTGCACCCTCTGGAGCCTTCCCAACTGCGGCTGTAAAACTGTGGGCTTCTTGGTATAGTCTTCACCTCTCCAAAACTCAAGGCAAATGACATTTTACAGCTGACCTATAAACGGTTTTCCTATCAGTGTATTAATTTAAATATTGATTAAATCAAGAGGTACAGCCTGTTGATAAAGCTGTTGATAACCTGTACGAGTAATTTGCTACAAACAATGTGTTCTTGAATACCGGCAAATGTCCTTTCACAGTTACGCTTAGACCAACAGGTCATATTGGTTTAACTAAACATAGTCCAGCCCTTAGAAAATACCCTTACCAATGTCACATTTGTCTCCAGTCTTCCCAGGTGGGCAAAGGCACTTCCCAGTCTCTGGATCACAAGGAGCTCCTCCGCAGTCGCACCGGTGCCGGCACCTCTCTCCAAACCAGCCCCTGTCGCAGCCTGACAGCAAGAGCACTTTTTTTAGACGCACATTTGAATGGCAAGACGTACATTAGGCCAGAGTTTTTCCAGGATGTCTCAGAGGAGAGCTCGTAAACTCTCCACTGAAGCTCGTGTAAATGCCAAGTTTAATGAAGAATCGAACATAGCAGAATAGGCATAATATTTATGCCTTTATGTTGGGTTTGTCTAATCTAACCCATCAAAGTTATCTGTAAATCTGTCCCAGAAATGTAACTGGCACTTATTTTCATTTTTAATTAGAACTCTCTAGAAGACCGTTCCATAACACTCAACAGGTCTGACATGCGCCTATTTAATAATCTTATTTGGAGTTTTAGAAGCAAATTTAAAATCAGTAAAAAGAACTTATATTTAATAAACGACATGTGGAACTCATTGCTGAAGACATCATGGAGACCAGGACTTTCACCGTATTAATTGGAACCAGATTAGTTAATTTATAAGGAAATGAGAACACCCAGCTATATAACAGGTAAAAAACCCCGAATCTAGTGTTTCAGGATATTCATAAAGGTCAAAATATGGAAGAAGTTGGTCTCAACAAACAAACATTTGAGTAATAACATGGGATTTTTTGAGTTTAATTTTGGTTTTTTGTTTGTTTGTTTTTTTTTTCTTTTACATCAGAGGGGCACAAGTACCTTTCTCACAGTAAACACCTTGATAACCCAAAGGACAAATGCACTGTCCTGTCACTGCATTGCAGCTCGCTCCATTTTTACAGGCACAGGCATGAAGACAGCTTAGCCCATAAAATCCAAGAGGACACCCTGAAAAACGAAAGTATCAAATGAGGAAGGTTTATGAAGAAAAACATACATCTCTAAAATCCTCTGTATTCTCAGCTACATTCCCTGGGAGCCCACAAAAATGATACTTACCATTAACTCTAATAATGCCACGTGCTTTTAAACTTGTACCACCCCAGCATCAGAGGTATGCAAGTTACTCAGATCTGGAAACAGCCGGGTGATCTGGGACACCCCAAAAATTTTAACTGAACCGGCGAGGTGTTTAGGTGACTAGCCTGAAGACCCACATCCCATTACTGTTGGAAAAGAGAGCAGCCGGGCTGCCCAGGCGCCTCCACTTACTGTGCTCGCAGGAGTGGCCGTAGTAACCCTCGGGGCATCGGCAGCAGCCCGTGAACCTGTCGCAGGTGCCGTTGTGCTGACACGAGCAGTCCAAGCCGCAGCCAGACCCGTACTTCCCTGGAAGACATTCTGCTGGCAGGACACGGACAGAAAAACAGACAAACAAAACAAAACAAAAAATCACTGATGTCACCCAGAAAAGCTCTTATGTGATAGTTTGTATAGCTGAGATATGATGCCCACAAAATAACTTGCAGACCCAAGGAGAACATTTGTTATGAAGACACAGCATTTCTGCAGAACTGTGATGCATTTACGTATTTCAATAAGAAATCTTTTATTATATAGATGTTCGAACAGCAATTTCCTTGTACTTTTGATAGTCTTTTTTTATTTGTCTCTTTACGTAGTCAATATTGAACCCACACCATGTGTTGTAAAGCCACATAGTAAATGGTATAAATGGTACGTTCTATTTTTTTTTTTTCCATATCTACAGCAATATTTTCTTTTAGGCACTTAGAAAGTGTGAAAGAAAACACATAGCTTTTCCTCCTCTGTGTTATCATTGGAGTTCACACTATTCCAATTCCTAATAAAACCGTGAGGATCTCTTTTTCACACATAGCAACAGACTTTCCATGTATAATGAGGTATCTGCTTTTACAGAACTAAACACGTCTCAAATTACTGAAAGCCAAGTCATGCAAAAATGACTGTGCCAATATAATTAACCTAGGCATCATTTCTGCATAAGTTAAGTTCCCACTGCTGTGATAATTTGAATCTGGGCAGACCAATGAGCGTGGCCATCCAAATAATCAGATTCATAACTGTGCAAATGTCAGATAAGATCTTTCAAGAACATCATATCTAATCACTAGAAAAAGGATGCCTGATTAGCTGTCTTTGATTTCCAGTCAAAACACACTCAAAACCACACTGCTGTGGAAATCAAGACTCAAAGTTCCAATAACTTGGCTACCTCTGTCAAAAGATAAGCTCTTTCTAGTGATATAATACACAGTTTTTTATGCGCTGTGTGCATGTCTACCCCTGTGCTTGACACCAGAGATGTTTTATATTAGCAATTCTGTGAGATACATCCACGATCTACCACTCCACGTGGTGACACCTGCATGACCCTACTGAGGCTTTGCAACCCAAATGCAGCCTATGGGCGGTCACAGAGATTTCAAGGAACGGACAAATAGAGATGAACACAGGTGGCCTATGCAATGTGAAGTTAGCCAGTTATTGGTAAACTGCACTTTTTTTGGGGGGGGGTATTTTAGCGCCTGCCCACAGTGGTATTCACCTTGTGAGTGGCTCCATGGAGTTAGCGTCTTTCCTTTCCTCCCTGCTCCTTCTCTGCACGCATGCATGCACGAAGCAAGGTCTCTGAGTCTTCTCAGGTGCAAAGTGAAACAATTGCATTGAAGAATTCTGCTAAAAAGTGTAATTTCTACACGACATTTTATATAAGGACACTGCCCTATAACGACCAGTGGTAAAGATACGTATGGAGTTTGAGATGGATGTTCTACAGATGTCAGGGACAGAAAGGCTGTAAATGAGGGTCCAGGAGTGTGTTGGGAAGATTGCACCGTGGCAGTTATGATGCAAAGATGACATTTGTCTTGAATGTGAACTCAGAACTATTTATTTTACATCATACCAGTAAACTCATGGTTTCCTGAACATTTAAGTCCGTAACTTTACAGATATCTTTCATCTGGAGAGAGAAATGGGAACACAGAAATGCAGAATGACTTTTGGGAGATGGACAGAAAGAGGTGGAAAAACTCTACTCTGGGCTGGCAGGAGGGCTTCTGGAGTGAAAACTGAGCTTAGTGTGCTTTGTCTTGTGTAAGGGAGAGCTGTCATGGAGAAGAGTAAGGACAAAATAGCAAGACAATCTTAACTGCTTTGGACAGATATTGTCAGAACTGTACTAGCAGAGAAGTCAATACATGGGAAGTTCAACTGCAGTCCAGTATCAAAGGAAAAAGAATAACAAGACAGAACATAACATGAGAGGAGGGACATGTGGGCTTCTGCTGAGCTCAGAGGAGAACATGAAAGAAGATACAAAACAACGTTCCCATGAACAAAAGAACACAAAAGCTGGACAGGAGAAGAAGTAAGAGGCCATGCAAAGGAATTGATGAGAATTACAGAGTGGGACTCATGAGAAAACTGCCTCTGACAAAAGACCTAAAGCTCTAACTAGGGGCAGTTCTCCGTGAGAGAAGCTACAGAGACAAATGCAGCTGGGAGAGAGTCTACTTAAGCAAAACCTGTCCCCTTTTGTGTGTCTGTAGACACTGAGAACCCCTGCTTGAATGTACACGTTCACTATCATCAAAGCAGAAAATTACCTTTCTCACACGATCTTCCTGTCCAGCCGAGCCCGCAAGTGCAGTTGCCATCCACGTGGTCACAGATACCACCGTTCTGACAGGTACATGTCAGGTGGCAGTTGGGGCCATATTGTCCCTGGGGACACACTACAGAGAATTAACAAAGTTTGAAAAAAAAAAAAAAAAAAAATTAGCATCCCAAAAAAGGATGAAGGTGACAGGGAATAAATACAAATATACATGCTCGCCACAGAGTACCCCAAGTGCCTGGTGTCTCCTGAGGGCTGTGGGACACTCTACTCCATGCTTATGAAACACAGGCACAGGTTGCTCAGAGAGGTGGTAGATGCCCCGTCCCTGGAAACATTCAAGGTCAGGTTGGATGGGGCTCTGAGCAACCTGATCTAGTTGAGGATGTGCCTGCCCCTGGCAGGGGGGTTGGATTGGATGACCTTTAAAGGTCCCTTCCAACCCAAACCATTCTATGATTCTTATTAGCAGTTTCATCCAAACACTCTCTGCCTCGCCATATCTCCTCGCTTGGCTTCACTCCATTTGCTCCTCTTGCCCTCCTCCCTTTGTCCCATCTCTCAACTCGTCTTCAGCAAATCTGCTCCCTTCACTTTTTCAGTTTTAGTAATTTACTTCTGAATTTAGTCCCATCCATCCTCAGTGCCCTCACACTGCTCATGTTGTGTGGTACAAACTACCCTTTTTCCCATCCTTATGTTCCGTTTGGACTGCAGTCTCTGAAAATTTGGACTTTAGCTTTGTGGAGAAACCAGTGCAATGGTACCAAGGTGTGGTGGAGCAAAGCAGTGAGATGGGGGCAGGAGATGGGGGTAGGACAAAGGCAGGGTGATGGAGCAGGGGGGGACAGGGGCCGAGTTCAGCACACTGCAATGTTATCAAGCAGAGGCACTGGGAAACACAGCCATAAACAATGTTTGTCGCTGAGTTTTATTTGCTGGTTTTTTTAAGTATGTGCCCAACTGACGAGATGACCTTGGCTCCCGCTTTGTTACCTTGCTGACAGCTGGGTCCCATTTGGCCGGGAGGACAGGTACACTTGCCAGTCTGCGGGTCACACTGACCTTTACCACATGCACAGAACAGGGTGCAGTCCTTCCCAAATCGGTTTTCAGGGCAAGCTGAGGGAAACACAGGCCTTTGTTAAACACCCCGGGTGTTCAGTGCCAGTTTGCATTTTTAACATATAGGCAGGATCCTATAGGTAGAGTTGGCTCCATTTTTATTCCAGCTAATGTGCTTCAAAGCGACAACTGTGAAAGCAAAACCCATCCAAAGCCATGACTGCTGCTTCCTCTGAAACTTTACTTGAGGTTATAAATATAATCCATGGTTTCACATGGAACATTTAGTAGGTTTCCTACCAAAAAGGTGAGTGTACAACTGAAATATCAGCTGCTCATCCTTCCAGCTAAAGACGTCTTTCCTTCTTTAATATTGATGCTGTCCTATGCTGAAGAGCAAAGCTATAGGCTACTAAACGTTAAAGCATTGCCTTTCTGTGAATAAGCTGAAGAGAACTTCATAGAGATCATCACTTTGGAAATAGCACAGGAATTCAGCCACACAATTTAGCTCAGAAATAGAGAAGCAAGAGTAGGGTTGCCATGGAGCCTTTACCAGTTTTGCCATGACAAAACTTGATCTTTTTCCCATTTATTGAAACTAATGGCACCATAGTGTGAAACAAAATATTGAGATAATTTCTCAACCTAGAAATTTTGGACAGGAAGAAGGAACTTGAGCAATTCATGCTGAGCTAGCTCTAGAAATAAATTTGGGCAAGCAGGTTGTAATCCTGGGATGAGTGTCCTTGCTTCCATGCATGCAGAAGAGAGGGAAAATATTTTGCAAGAGATTTTTTACAAAGCTGGAATCCTGATTTACAATTCAAGGAGGAGGTAGCTGGGATCTGTCTGTTTTTCTACTGACAAGCTCTTAATGCAGATTATTCTCTCTGCTGTTTTTTGAAAGAGGCAGAACATGAATGTTGGCTTACTTTTACTACAGTCGGCTCCAATGAAACCAGGCGCGCAATCACAAGTTCCTGACGCAGGGTCGCAATGGCCTCCATTCATGCATTTACAGGGTTTTTGGCAGTTTGAACCGTAAGTGCCTTTTGGACACCCTGTTTTAAAAGAACAAAATAGCAATTAGGCTATGTTGCTACTGGGCCCACGGCATTTCATGTCATAAGCACTTTGTCGCTTTCAGCCAAAATTAGATTTTCATTTTCTAACTCTAATCACTTCTAGAGGGTCAGGAGCAGCCATTGACAAGCAGATGGTTGCCTCGGGCAGTGCACTCCCTGGGGCAGCAAGGCAGCGCTGACCCGCAGCGTCGAACGCCTGGAGAGCCGGACCGACTGCTGCTGCCGAGCCTGCTCCTCCCATTCCTCATACGTGACGGTAGCAAGAAAAGCAAGCCCAGTTCTTCAGACGTTTTCCTCCTGGATTTCTGTTCCAAATCAACCTGTCCCCGCTTCCCCTCCCACGGCAGGGGTGGAGAGATGGGGCCTTGGTCCCTCTTCCTTTGGGCAGCAACAGCCTGGTTTGACCGCCATGGTGAGAAGCCATGAGCTCTCTCTGCCCCTTTTAGTGGTCGTTTTAACTGACCAGGCACAGATAGCGGGACAGGTCTCATCTTTTAAAAATGTTTAAGTTGAAAAAAGTTAGTTTCCTCTATAAGCTACTCCTTCAAACTGGATTTTGTGTTGCTCTGACAAATCTAGTGGGCTGTAGATGGAAGACATGACAATAACATGAAATTTCAGGAGACACCTTCTCAGAAGATAAATACAGGAGAGAGACGCTTTAAATGCAAAGCCAGAAAACTCTCTGAGGAAAAAAAAAAAAAAAGCAGCTGTATTGTGTAATAACCAGAAGAAACATTAGACCTGGATGGATTGCTGAGCCAGTGTTACATGGCAATGATCTGTCCATGAAGAGGTCTTCCAGGTGGTAGCAAGTATTTCTGGTTTCTTTTTGGACAGCTAATGTTGAAGGAGCACCAAATACAAGATCAGGAAGATCTTGTATGAATGCATCTGCCACGCTTAGGTCATGTCTTCAAGATACTCTTTAGAGTGATGGAGGCTGGAACGGAGGAAAAGAGCTGCACGTGCCTCCGTCTGTCAGGGTCGCCTCCAGCGTGCCACCCCTGAACTCTGATGATGCAGGTTATTCTCCCAATTTTCCAGTGTACTGGAAGAGGGAGAAGCTGGTGCTTTTAGAAGAACATGATCATCATTCAACGGTTACACTAGTGCTACTGCCTCTACGTGTCATTTCTTTGCTCCTTCTTTCTCTTCCCCCGGCAAAAGGAAAGCCTATGGCTACTTTGGAAATCTGGTTGAATATATATTTGCACGTGTCTCCAAGCAACAGATCTCTTGCAATCTGTGCATAAATAACTTTATACATTTTCTCTCTTTTCTGAAGGCATGAAGGCATGGTCTGAGTGGCTGGAGAAATCTCTGGATTTTTTTAACTATTCAATAAAGAGAGAGAGAGAGCGCGCTTATGGTGAAGCTTTAAAGGGATGCCTTTTAAAATAAAACTGAAAATTGGCTTCTGCTCAAATCAGGATAGCAGATCATCAGGACTAAACAGATACACACTTTTATAACATGCAGATACTCTCCCCAGCCCTTTTCAACCATGGCTTCTTCTCAATGAATACTTCGTCATCAGTGCTTCCATCTGTCAGTAGAGAAAATCTGTTTCATGTGCAAACCCTGGCATCAAGGAGTGAGCCCTGCAACATCTATTTCATTTCCACCACGACATGAAGTTAAGGACACACCCAGATTCAATGATTTAATTGGATTCCAAGTGAGTTTCTTTCTTCCTCCTCCCTTTCCTTTTGGTCATCGTTTGGCTTTTCTCTTTTTTAATTCTGTTTCCCACACTCCCAAACACGCTGCTTCTCCCTGGCAAAGCTTTCAGAGTTGTTCCTCCGCTCAAGACTAGCAAGAGCTGTTCCATTACTGAAAGGGATGCAGTAATTCCCCCCTTTCCAGTTTATTTACCTTTGCAGCATTTTATTTATTGCGGTTCAACAGGGAGCAGTACAAGCAGGGCAAACACATCAGCTGCAACATTCATGTGGTTATTAACAAGGCCATCTCATCTGTTACTGCTTTGCAGGAGAACTTCTATGCAGATAGCTAGGGCAATTTACAGAGTGTCCTGCCATTTAAGTAGGCTCTGCCTTTATAAAGAGGGTTAGCCTCTAACCACCAGCTATCTCATAAAGACATTTTCTAATTTAACAGTTTCCTGTGCATGTGCCTTCTGTTTTTTCTAAGAACGGCAGGAGCAGCAGCCAGATTTCTAACTCATTTCCTGATTTTTTCTTTCTGGTTTGGGTGGGTTTGCCATGACCAAGAGCTCCTAAATCTTTTCATACCAACTGCATACGCTACGGCTTTTCTTACCAACGTTATTAATTGCATTGTCAAAAAATCACTTGCGAAGCATCCTGTTACCTACAGCTTGAAGGTGAAGCTGGTGAGGTCTTCCTGGCTCAGAGTTCACCCAGCCCAGTAAATGTCAGAGAGACGTAGCATGGGGTTTTTTCATCCATTACACCACCACTTACTGCTTTTTATTCATAACTTCACTCAAGTAGATCTGCCCGTCCACCGAGTTATGGACAACTGATGGGAACCTTATTGCTAGTTTGTCTGCTTCCTCTGGATCCTGCCAAGAGACTGTTTCAGCTCTTCACTCCAAAATCTGAGAACATGAAAGCCTCGTTGCTCTTGGCTCCTGGAAATTTGACTTCCCAGCCAACTACACCTTTTATAGATACTTTCTTGAATCTTTTTTCACAGTACTATAAATATAGCAATAGTTGCCAGAAACTGTTTCCAGCAGCATCCAACCACATGTTGACTGGACTGAAGCCCATTTCACGTCTTTGGGAGCGGCTCCCTATGCTGTTTTTAATATTATATCGAAAGCTTCTTCAGCCCGGAGCAGCCCCAGTTCTCCCTGTAGTGAGGACGGCAGGAACATGGAGTATTCCCACCAAAGTCACACTAGCAATCCTTGGTTATCAGTCACTTCAGAATCAGGTCCACAATCTCTCACTCCACTGACCTAAACCTAAAAATAACACACTTAAACTTTTTTCCTTCCATTTTTTTGCCTGTCTAAGCAATGGTCAGAGTGGCATAGGGGAGAATAGGAAAAAAAAAAACCCACATAGATGCAAGACAAATTTTCTCTCTCTGTGAACCTCCACCATTCCATTATCTCTTCCAGGAAACGTTTAACAAAATTGTATTTATTAAGTGAGAATTTGGTGTGCAAGATACTGTGTGTATTTGGAACCTAAGAGAACACAGCACCACGAAGGATCACGTCTCATACGCTATAGGTTTAATCCTAGCTACACAGGAGCCCAAGGCAAAATCCCTCTGAACGCAACAAAACACAGATTTCATTTTGTAAGTAACTTCTTTTCTATCAGAACTTCAGTGTAATTATTATTTAAATTTTAAAATTCTGAAGTAAAATCTTAAGGATCTAAGCAAGCTTGAGGACATTTACTAGAATCTATAGAGATTCAGTACTATATGGACAGGTAATGACTACTGAAAGATTGCTACATAAAAGTAATAGGCTAACCATGATTAAGTCCTTTAAAACGATACTGTTAAATACTTGATCTCCACTACTGCTCTACTATAATATTTATTATAATCTAATGTATAATGGATCCAGATGGCTCTAGCCGAGATGTCGAAGGCCGGATTTCGATCTCACTTACAGTGAGAACTGATGTACAAAGGAGGACAGAATCAATCCTTACATTTACATTTATATTTTAAAAAACAACTTGTGATGACATGATGGTAATACAAATTCCCATCTCCAAAATGAGCCTCTTTCCTGTTTCTTCTCGAGGAATAAAGCACAGGTTTAACCCTCACTAGAGCCGCGCATATTGCAGATGGCTTTTGTATCCAAATTGTCACCCAAAAAAAGCAAGCAAACCAAACAGAGCCACGCTGGATTCCTTGGAAAGGAAAATCTTTGGCATTCACCAAAGAGAAAGCTTTTTTTTTTTTTTAAAATGAGTCTATTACAAGCCATGGAGTAAAAACAAAATTAAAGTTGTAAATAAAAAGGTAATTAACTGTCTCCTTTTTTGGATACTTTGGTCTATGTTTCTTATCAGTTGCCACATTCCACCAGAAACAACTTTACAGATGTTCTAAAATACCGGCATGAGGCATGTGGATCTGGGAATATTTTTTATGATGGACCGTTTGGCCAATTGGCATTTTGTCCTCTACACTAGTCACCATTTTTCAATCCAGAGTAACAAGTTGTTTAATTTGATTGTTCCTCAGAAGGCCCTACAACTTAACTGACTTTATGAATCACTTAGTTTTATTGCCAATTGCAGCTTGTTGTTTTCTAATAACCGTTTGTCCTTACTGGAGCACACAGAGATTTCGGGAAGTATTTTGGCGTAGGTATTTGGAAATGAAAGAGCTACACAACATCCAGGTGTAGCTGAAGATGAGAGGTGTAAACGTAGAGAATGATATTGATATTCTTCAGCATGGCATGAAATTGGAAAGAATTTAGCTAGTAAATGAGTCCTTTTTTTAATTTTTTTTTTTTAAATTATTATT